CCGAGCATGGAATCATTCATCAAACAATGATACATTACTCATCCCAATCGAATGATGTTGTTGAACGCAAAAATCAAACTCTTAAATAGATGATGAACGTGATGTTGATAAGTTTGGGTCTGTCCTAGAACTTGTGGGGGAACCTATTCTTTCGGCTTAAAAAATTGGAAGAAATTCCGTATAAACTATGGAAATGTCATCACCTGCCTACCAACACTTGAAAGTGTTGGGCCGTTTGGAAGATATTCTATATTGGCCTAAACTAATACATGCAATATGCATACGTTGTGATAGTTAATCGGCTATTGGAAGGGCTCAAAACAACATGTATAATTATAAGTCTAGACATATATGTTGAAGACACATTACCATTAAGTAACTGATCTCAAATGGTATCATCTCCATAGATTATGTGAAATCAAATGAGAATATCGTGGATCTTCTTACTAAAGGTTCACCAAGAGATCAAATACATTGCCTATCGAAAGGAATATGACTAAAACCTATTACGTAAGAATCGTTGTGATGGTAATTCTACCTTATTAACTGGAGATCTCAAAATCTTGGTTCAAAGAAACAACTAAGTTATGAAGATTCAATAAAACACTTGAAAAAATATTTCCCAACTCGTTCCTATCATGATTAAAGTGTTTTCTATAAAATGTTAAAGGTTAATATTTTTTTTTAATGATTCATATATTTTGATTAAGTCAGGTGGAGTAGGGCATAATACTCTTAATAAGAGGTCATCTATGTAAGTCTGGTCGTACCTGATGCAGTGTTTTTTTATACCCTCTCTACGATGGATCATATTTTCCGTAGCATGAACATATTTGAATTTCCATTCATGTGGAGGATTATTGGAATTTCCATTCATGTGGAGAATTGTTGGAATTGGTTTAAAAATTGAAAAAGTTGATTAAGTATAAAACTTGAAAAGTGACTTAATGTCAATTTCGGCCAAATATTCGAACTTGATCTAATAGTCAAATTATAAAATAAATAGACTAATTTAGTAGATCCCTATAGTATATTTGAAATCTCAAAACTAATTCCGGATAAATGAGAAATTACGGTCCAAAATTGGAATAAAAATGAAGAGGAAAAGAAGTAACACTGCTGTTCGAGTGGCAGGTGGGTGAAAAGCTTTTGTTGAACAGGTGTCACTGGCGCTCGAGCGATATACTAGCGACGCAAAGGATCTCATATCATTTGTATTGAGCATTACATCAAAATCTCTTACAAAAATTCTCCAAAAGTCATTCCAAAATTGTTTTCTTGTAGAAAGAAAAAATTTCATTCGAGTTCGCTGTTACTTGTGGTTTAAAGTACTTCTATCTCAAGTTGTATATTGGGAGAAAAATGTCGTAATCTGTTAGCACCATTGCAGGACAATTTTGTGTTAAGGACAAGATGTTAATAACTTGCCTCGAATTTATTTTCTTCACTTTTTTTTGCATTCTCCGTCTTTCTTTTCATTTCCATTTTACATAGAGTTTAATTACTTTCATGTGAATTAAACTTTACCATTTATTTTGTCAATTACAAAAAACCATTTCACTAAACAAATTACCAATAGAAAAGGGTTGTTAGAATTGCTACAGAATACATTTATGCCCTGTTTGATACGAAAATTTTTCCATGAAAGTAAGAACTCGTTTTCCATTTTCCAAGTTTTGGCTTATTTGATTGCAAAGTTTTCCCTAAAATTGTTTTTCTTGGTTTCCACTCACACGTGCACAATTTCTTAGTTTCTGTGGAATTCATTATCTCATGGTTTGAGTGGGAAATGATTTTCCAACTTTTTTTTTATTTGCAATTGAAAAAAATTATAAACACAATGGTAAAAAAAAGATCAATCTTGCTACTTGTACATCACATTGTACATCGGAGTGTACACCCCCCTCACATGGGGTGAGACTCGCTTAGATTAAAAAATAATTTATGCAATGGGTCTCACACCCCATGTGAGAGTGATGTATCCCCTTATGTACAATGTGTGATGTACAAGTAGCATTTTTCAAAAAAGATTTATCCCTTTTATTGACAATTTTCATGTAAAACAAAGCCAAAAGAATGATATTCGTTATAATAATTTTTTTATTTTTATTTTTGCAATTGGAACAAATCTATAACCAATAGTAAAAAAAAATTATCACTTTAATGGATATTTTCCATAAAAATAAAGCCAAACGACACCAAACTTTCAACATTCAAAGTGAAAAATTATATCAATAAAACACAATTAATTATAATTCTCAATAAAATAAATTCTAGACAATTTAATTCCTTGTAATTCATTTTTTTCCATCCAAATTTCACATTTGCAATCATACGGATCCTTTGGCAATTTTCTATTAGAAAATGGCAAAAATATAAAAATAAAAATAGATCACAGCAGCGTCTGTTAAATTTTGCTGCTAAACTTTCAGCGACACCGTCCAACTCTTACAACATTGGGCACGTGAAAAACGTGCAAGGCATAAATAAGGAAGAAAAAAATGCAAGTATGGTAGTGAGAGTCAGCTCGTTGACCATAAATAGTACATTTTTCGGGGTGGTTTTGGCACCTCATGTTTGACTATTCCTACTGGTGTGAATTGATGGATTTGCACATTATCCCCACACGTGAGACAATTGAGTGCTTATCCGTTGACTAAGTTAAACTCTAGTGTCTTTGCAAACAATCAGAGCATGTTTGTTGCATATTATTCTTGAAAAAAAATGAATTTTTTTTATCGTTATAGTCCACAATTTTTGACCCTCTCTCTCAGGCGTGGGACCCACATTTCTCTCCAACGGCCATAATGTTAATTTTAATCCAGCAAAATAGAGATACCAGACAGACCCAGTCTTTGTTTGAGTCCATTTTGATAAGTAATGCCTGTTTGTTTCACATTATTTTAGACTGAAAATGAATAATTTGATTGTTTTTTCCAACAAGCTGGGACCCACCATAACACAAGATGGTCAAAAAATGCGACTCATCCACTGTGCAATGGTAAGAATTTTTCTACAAATGAGAAACTCTAAACAAACAGTGGTTAAATATATTTTAAAATAGTGATTTTTGTTGAAAAATATGCTATTAAAAATGAAGAATTTTTTTTTTTCGATTTACATATAAAAATGTGTTGTTGAAAATAAATTTTGAAAAAAAAATGAATTTTTGAAAAAATGAAGACCAAATATATGCTTAATTTGTGTTTTCTTATAAATAAAAAAAATTACAAACAAATAACAATAACAACACGTGATATGAATTATATGCATCAAACGCTATATATTAAGGACCTGTTTGTTTTTTATTCTCAAATTCTATAGTAAATCAATTCTCATTTTCAACCACACATTCTTTAATAAAATAATATTTTTTATCATATCAATAATTTTTTCTTCTTTTTTAACCACATATTTCTCATCATATCACTATTTAAAAATCAATTATTCCCCCAAAAATTCATACCAAACAAGCACTAATAGAAAAATGGCACCGGACATCTCAATGATTGAGAAAATAGGCATAGTTCGCTCATGTTGACAAAATTCATACAATTTGACTGTTAAAATGAAATGAAATGACCAATTTGCCCTTGTTTTTAATAAATAAATAAAAGCAAAGAAATCAATAAAAGAAAAAATTGTTGTGGTAGCCCAAATCTTTTCAAAAAGTATAAATGAATCCTTGATATTATCTCTTTAAAATAAAGACAGTGAATATATTGTCTTACTAAAAAAAAATGTTATTTATATATTATAAAAGTTAATATAAAATTTACAATACAACTAATTATAGCATAACACATAATAATTTTATATAACATTAAGCCACTATTTGATTTAGATTATAAAAAAAAAAATATTTTGATAAATGGCAATGAAATATATGGTTGAAAGTTGTGAATCGCGTGAAATTTATGGTTAAAAGTAATTGTCGATTTTAATTTAGTGCTCGTTTGGTAAAGATTAAAATTTAATTAAAATTGAAAATATAGCCGTTATTGGGTCACACTCGTCTAATAAAAGTCAACAATAACGGCTGGTTTTTCAATTGTAATTCGATTTTAATTTCTACCGAACACGTTCTTAATCTTTTAGCTGAACCAAACAAAGACTAAATTTATTAAAAGCTCAAAATTTTGAAGCAAAAACTTACCAACCAAACAAAATTTGATTCTTCCTAAACTAATTCCCTTAAGCGATACCAAGCCAAGCGTTAACTTAGATCATCAAGTAATGTATGGTTAACGTTTGTTTCCTCCTACTTATCATTAACCGGTTGTCTTAAGATTTTAAACTCCATTTGCCTCTACAATCGTCTTTCCCCCCCCCTATTTCATCTATTAAAGAGCATGTTTGGTAGGATTTAAAATTCAATTAAAATTGAAAATATAGTCGTTATTGGGTCAATTCAATTTTAATCTGATTTTAATCTCTACTGAACACGCCCTAAATATACTTGTGATATTTGCTATATTTTAGAATCTCTCATGCTATAGTTTTAGGAGTTTATCGATTAGTTATTCGTGAATTCTCTAATAATAATTTTTTTTAGTTTCGAGTAAGATGAAGAGGGGAGAGATGTTTTTTGGTAAATTAGTATATTGATAATTTAGCGTGAACGAAATTACAAAGGTAAGTAAAGAGAAGGGGGAAGCCTTCTTCCCAAAGTAAACAAAATAAATAAATAACGCCGAATGAATATATTTGCACAATTACAAAACAATGAGAAACAGCTAACCCAACCCCTTTTCATTATCGATTTCCGTGTCAAGCAAGCATTCATACCACAAACTACACTCCCCATTTCTTAACCCACGGGCAAACCCAAAATATCCTATTTTCGTTTCCTTGCAAAGCTACAAAACTTTACTTGCCTTCTAATCTTTTCACCAAACCCACCTGTATAATTGTTCATTTTCTTGATGGCCTTCTGAGATAAGTTTTGGGTTGAGCCTTGATTTTTTTTTCTTTTGGATTACAATTAATCTTAAGTAAAGATGGGTCAGGAGGTGGTGGCGTTGGTGGGCACAGAAGCGCCAGCGGCGGGGATGGGGGGACCGCCACCGACTTCTTTGGCGCCTGGGTTTAGGTTTCATCCTACAGATGAGGAGTTGGTGAGGTACTATCTGAGGAGGAAGGCCTGTGGAAAGCCCTTTCGGTTTCAAGCTGTTACTGAAATTGATGTCTACAAATCTGAGCCCTGGGAGCTAGCTGGTATAAATATACATACATAAATGCATGACTATACTTGTACTTTATGTGGTAATTTATTTAATTTTTCGGTGATATAGTATTTTTTGTTTATTAGATTGACGGGTGTAACACATAGATATTGGAACTATCACTGTTCTGGATAGTCTCGTTTTCTTGAACTTCTGGGATTTTGATAAGATAGTCTGGTTGTGGATATCAGGATATGGAAATTATATTTCAGGGTTTCTGAATATATGTGTGTGAGTTTAATTAGTAAAAAGTAGTACTAGAAAAGCTTCAAAATACAATGGAAATTAAATTTGAGTCTGTGAAAAGAAGGTAAAGAGTGCCAGGAAATTAAACTTCTTTGTTGCTGAAGAAGTAAGATTGATTAGGGATGGGATTTTAAACTGATTACGAGATGGATGAGAATTTATTGGAAATGGTGTGAATGTAATGGGTAAACATACAAGTGTAAAAGCCAGTATTTAATTGTGTGTGTCTTCCACCTGGATTTGTGAATTGGGATGGGGAGTTTTTAAGGATGTAGAATGTTCAATTTTCATTCAAATCTTTCTTTGCTTGCAATAGATTCTCCTGTTGTTTGAATAGTTATATTTTTTTATGTTTTTTGGTGCAAATGTGTAGATTTTCTTGTCTTTTTAACTAAACTAATGAACAATTTGGTCTCTTGATCTTTGTCTTAAAAGATTATTCATCGCTGAAAACGAGAGATCAAGAATGGTACTTTTTCAGTCCTGTGGATAGGAAGTATGGCAATGGGTCTCGGCTAAATCGTGCAACTGGCAAAGGGTATTGGAAGGCAACCGGGAAGGATCGGTCTGTGCTTCACAGAAACCAGACTATTGGAATGAAGAAAACTCTTGTTTTCCATAGTGGGCGAGCTCCTGATGGAAAGAGGACGAACTGGGTAATGCATGAGTATAGGCTTTGCGACATAGAATTGGGAAGGGTTGGAGTTGCACAGGTGTGGGTGGTGATTTTAGAATTTAAATTTGGTGCTTGTTTATTTTCATTTTTTTAAAGTTATGAATCTTTAAAGAAATTCCTGTTTGTTGTTTTGCAACCGAAAAGGATGCATTTGTGCTCTGTAGAATCTTTCAGAAGAGTGGTTTAGGACCACCCAATGGGGACCGGTATGCACCTTTTGTCGAGGAGGAATGGGATGATGATGCAGCCCTTGTGGTTCCTGGCGAAGAGGCTGAAGACAATATGGCCAATGGTGATGAAGCAAGAATTGAGGGCAATGACCTTGACCAGGTTTATTCTATGTCCTTTTATTTAGACAGACTCGTGTTTAAGTTCCATTCCTTTACCAGTAAAATCTTTTTCTGTTCATTTCACCTACTTTTTGTTCTGCAAACTTCATGATTGATGGAGTCTATAAGTGTTTTGTCCGGCAGCAATAGTATATTCAAGTTGCAGCAAATGGTGCCTACATTGAACCAGAATTTTGTGCAACATGTTTCCCTAGTTTGGGAATGTTACCTTGCTCTATATTGAAACGTGAAAAAAGGGAATGAATTCTTGTAGTGAAACAAAATACGATGTTGCAATTGGTATTCTTTTCACAATATTACTCATCAGTATAGTATAGGATGAATAATACTTCTTAGCTAGCGGGCGGTAAGTGTTCTCAAAAAATTTTCGGGTGCTTGATAAAAATTTAATGATCTCATTCCACGAAAATTTATTCTGTGAGGTGAAGCATTTTCTGAATCAGGTACCTCGTACATTGTTGGTGGAAAATTAGATATTTATAGCTTGATCTTGCGGGGATTAGGTATGGAAAATGGAAAAGGCCTAATAATTAGTGAAGAGAAGTTAGAATTTTTTTTACTAACCTCTCATTTTTCATATTTACAAAGAAGATTTGCTTTCATGAAAATTGCTTTTGATAAATTTTCTATAACTATCACGTTAGATTCTCGGATTTATGACACAGAATTAAGATCATATCTAATATATTAGATCTTACCGTTGTTAACTAGAATTGATATAGCCTCAGTTTGAGAAAGATTATTAATAAAGGAGTGGTGGAGATCACAGAATTTATGGATAATAATGAGTAGTAGCATTGAATGCGTGGTTGAAATTAAACTTTGACTTTGACTTTGACTGGGTAGCAGAAATAACTTTTAAATTTCTAAAAATGTGTCCTAAACAGAGGCATACTAATCTATAAATTGTATGGCTTTTAAACCCTGCATGCTGCATGAGCACTGAGGAGAAATGAGTGAAAACAATGTTAACCATTATTTGGACTCGCTGATGAAAACCGTACTTGCTTCAGTTTGCAAGCCGGTTCTACATGTTTGTTCTTTCTTGTTGATCAAAGGAGGAGGTATGGAGCCTTACGGTCCTTCAAATGACAATACATGTAAATTTTCAGCACTGTTTATTGTGGGATTGGAAGTTTTCAGCGTTCTTCACGTGCGATTGATGCTCGACATAATGTTTTCTTATGATGTTACTACTCAAGTGCATGTTTGGCATGCTGTGATGAACAAAATTTAGCCCCATTTTCTGCCTTCCCGTGCTAACCGTGCCTACCAAATATAGCATACGTGTATGTTTTGGCATCCGATTCTAGGACTAATTTGACACACTCATTATTTGTTTTTGAAAGTGCCAGATGTTCTTCTCTTGGTGCTCTTCAAAATTCATAAAACATCATTATAAGATTGTATCTTTGCTCTAAATTTATGTCAGGATAACCGTCCTCACAGCATGGACTTGGTGCAAAATCTTCTGTTTCTTTGCAAGAGGGAGAGATCAGAAGATCCTGAACACCTTTGTTTAGCTCAAAATAAAAGATCAAAGCATGATGACGTTCCCAACTCCAGCCATGCAAATGGATCGGAAGATTCAACTACAACAAGCCAGGATCCCAAAACAATGATGATGACGACACTTTCTTCCCCTGCACTTCTGGAATTTCCTTTATTAGAACCGGTCGAACCCAAAGAAAACCAAAACAACCCACCTACATTTGACTCTTCAAACCTGGAGAAATCTGTGCCCCCTGGGTATCTGAAATTTATCGGCAACTTGGAGAATGAAATCCTGAATGTCTCCATGGAGAGGGAGACTTTGAAGATCGAAGTGATGAGGGCTCAAGCTATGTTCAACGTTCTCCAATCACGCATTGAAATGTTGGCCAAAGAAAACGAGGAGCTAAGGCATCATGTCCGGAAAGGGTAATATTTGTTGTACCTAGATATTCCTGTGTAACATTATCCAATCGTCTGTGTCTTCAGAACTAGAAGATGAGACGAGCAAGGGCCTTGAGATGCTTAAACGTTCACTGTGCCCTATGCAATCTTCGTGTAGTTTTTTAATGTGGTCTGGACAAATCCATCAGTCGACAATGCTTTCGTATTTTGAATTGACTTGTTCAACAAAAATCTAGTTCGAAGTTACGATCTTTAGCTTAGTACAAAAATATGAAATAATTCCTATGTTGCTTTCTAGTTGCAGTTGAGTTACTCTGGAAGCTCAGAACATGGTGTTACATAACTGATGAAAATAATCAGGGCCGGCCTTGGGAATTATGAGGCCCTAGGCGACTAAGAATTCGTCGTGTCAAATTGAAGTTCATCTTTTTTCTTGGGATTTTGAAATTTTTTTCGTAGGACAGAATTGTTACTATTTCTCTTTTTGTATTTCACAAAAAGTACAATAAAAACATAAATCACTTCAAACAAATTTTACTTGTGAGGCCTTCTACCCTTACGCCGTGTCTGAAGAAATGAAAAGTGGACGTGTGACGATTGTGTTGAGTTGTTTCTGGACATTCATCAAATATGAGAATACACAAAAAACTGAACTTGTTGCTTAGTTGGCACAAGACACTTGAAAAATCACACAAATCCTTCACAAATTTCACGTATCAGCCACATTTTCATGAAACTTCAATCAGACATTTTATCGAACACTTAATGTTAAGACAATTAACTTACCAAGATTCACCATAATTGATAGTTGCCTGCGACACATAATTTTAACGAGTTTTTTATGAACTCAAATATTATAAGCAGTCAACGCACGACTTGGAGAATAATTGCTTACGTGGGCTTTGGACGTTCTGATTTGGTGAAAGACTTCCTCAATCACCGGCCGCAGTAGAGGTAGCAATGAGCCGGCCCCCCGTATGCATACAAGCTCGTCTCGTTAATCGTGGGCCGAGCTGAGCTTCGGCTCGCGAGCTCACCAATTTTTTTTTTTTT